AAATGGCTTTGTGGGTTTCGAAGGGCTAGAGGATAGGATCCGCCCGAACTCCTTTGCCTGTTGTTGCAGGCAGCTATAGCTATCCACCCAGTCGGGCTTCCAGCCGGCAGCCGGCAGCCAGCGCTGGCGATAAAATAAATTTGCATATGAATTGAGAATTAAGAACATTTTGCACATCGTGCGGGCTCTTCTTTATCTCCTCCCCCTGGCTCCATCGTTTTGATATGGGGCTGCATGGGGAGTGTGGCTGCTGTTTGGCCTTTGAATTAGAGCCCACATACACGTCCTTCTGCCTTCTGCCTTCCCTGCCACTCGCCCTTGCCGATATTCCATATCAGCAGAGTGTGAATGGCTTATTTCCTTGTTGCCTTTTTGGCTGATTTTCGGAATTTGCATTTGGCCTTTTCGGACCAACATTTTTATGCGCCATGCTCCAGGCAAAAAAGAATAGCGAACCACGTCGAAATAGCAACAACTCGTTAGGCCATTGAAATTGAAAATGTTTTTCGACTGATGCGATAAGAAAGGGCATAGTAGTAGAAGACCAATATTTTGTTTTGAAGTATCCGATAAACTTTTTTGAAAACAATTCGATGGATCTATGAAAATCGATGATGACCTCGAGTCTTAAGTCAAAAATGCATTGGCACTCACATCAGGATAAGGTTATGGCATTTATTGGCAATTATTAATTTGGTCAAGAAACAACCGAAAATTACAATAACTTTGTGCGCAAGCTGTGTTTGTTCTCCCCCCTCTAATGGTATTTTTGACAAATAATTTTTAAGAATTACATATGTTATAAGTTAAGCAATTTAACTTAACTTCACACTTATCTCTGCTAGCACAGCCAAATTATCTAATCTTATCACCAAATAAAGAAAAATAAGGCGAGTGTCTCGACTATCAGATACCTGATTAGTCAATCAATATGTAGATGGACCTTGTTTAACAATAACATAATGAAACCGCGCGGACGTTCTGGATCAAAAGTAGATTTACTTTTTTGTTTGGTAAACGCATTATTTTACTTGTTGCACACTGTATAATGAACGTTATATTTTACAAATAACTGATAAATCCCAAAAAACTAATGGGGCATCTTCACGATGTCTACGGGAATGAATTTAGGTGACCGTGGGCTACACATTGAGAAACTTTTAGCTTTTAAACACCCAAAGCAATCGAACGCCGTATTTTTTGTTTTTCGAATTTGTGGAACATTTGCAAAACTTTCGTCACGCTCGTGAAATTGCTCGTTTAACTCATTTAACTTGTTGTGCTTGGGCTTAAGGCTATGTGTGTGGGCGAGAGTGTTTTTTCGAGAAGTTTGCATAAATTGCAGCAACAAGAAAAGTTAATAATGCCAGCGGGCAACTAGAGCTGGGGCGACAATGAAAATAATTCAATTAAAACACTTTTGGCAGCTTTTGGTTCCCCACCAGTCACCCCATTACCCCGAAAGCCCCACCGCTGTCCTAGCATGCATGTCAAGTTACAATTACGCCGAAACAAATTAACACGTAGACGGGGTGCAAGGCGGACGGACTGTGTTCATATGTATGTCTGTATATGAGGATTGCCCGGAGGCATTCTCTGCATAAAGTTCTGACTGGGCGGTCCTTCCGTCGCCTCCTCAGCCGCTTTTGGTCCTTTGGGCCGAGTGGGACATCTATGCCATGTTTACTTTGCTACTTAGGGCCATTGTTGTTGCTTAAAGCCGCAAGCGGCTTCGCTTTCTGGGATTTTAAATGTTTGACTGGCTTAGTCCTCAAAACACTCGGAACACACCACTTTGAGTGTTTAGGATTTTATTGGCCTGCTCAGGGATTATGGCTGAGTGTCATGCTGATTCTTGACTCTCTAGCTCTTGTCTCTAAGCCAGCTCATAATTAGTAATCAGTTACTTTTTTTTTTTTTGCGAAAATTGAAATTCTTGAGAATTGATTCTGTGCTTGGTTATTTGGTTAGCGTTTCCGACCATACAAATATTCGTATTTCCACTCAGGCTCTACGGTTGCGCAGCTTTAATGTGAAGTCTAACCGGAAAATTCGTCCGTCCTTGTCCTCGTCTAGTTTTCCCAAAGCGCATTTTAATTGACACGCACTTTGGTTGATCAGCAGTAACGTTTAAAACGTATGCATGTCGCTTAACCATTTTATCCAGCACACATGCTATCCGATTTCGCAGCCATTTGGGTCTATTAAAAAATGCTTTTCCATAATTTTGTAGAGCCCGAATTAAAGCGCGTAGGGGCGGTAAAAAACGCGAATTGATAGCGCGCAGAGTTCATGCTCGTTAAAAATCAATCCCCGGTGGGAGTCGACGAGGTGTCGTTCAGCAAAGGTGCACCACCACCACCTGCCGCCCTCGTGGTCAATATGCGCGACTATAAGTCTACATAAGCGCCGAGGTTGCCGTCATGCTGGGGATATCTCTTGGTATCTATGTACATTGTGTCCCTGCTGGGATTTCAGGCTTCGGGCGTATGTGTGTGTCCGGGAGCTGTTGTGAATGTATGGGAATTTGTTTTGTCATATCGGGCAGCTCTCGTCCTTTTTGCAGTGTGTACACTGCAGCTGACAAAAGTCAAGTTCTTAATGTGATAAGACGCAAGACAAAAGAATGTTTTAAAGCAAAAGGGAAAGAAATACAGAAATTTAGAGTTCTTATTAGGACCGGAGAAAGTTGCTATGCGGAGTTCGTACCATCTATGTGTGCAGGGCATCAGGCATTCGCATTGGCCCTTAGGTTTTTACTTTTTTACATTGTACATTTTTTTTGTAATTCTGCATGGGAATCACCACAAGTTGAAGCGCAATGAAGCGCAACACATACGCGACATTTCCAATCTACACGGCATCTATATGGCTCTGACCATGTCCAGCGATGTGACCGTGGCCATGACTCTAGCCCCCGAAAATGTGTCCAATGTAGCGCCACAACAAAGAACGTTAATTGACGCCAAAATGCTCCTGCAAAAAAACCAAAACGCCAAGCGAAACTGAAAAGGAGCAAATCGCCAGCCGAAGAATTTGTTCAGTCGGGCACAATTTGTGGCAGGACAGCAGCCTGGTGTCTTTCGGGGGTTCGGGGCTCGGGGTTCGGTGAATTTAAATGTTCCTCCATATCGATTCGCCACAACCAACCAACCAGGCCCGAACAGATTCGACCTGAGCCATCCCACCAGGAGGCTCAAGTGGCTGTATTAACCCTCGAGAGGTCACCGGGGTCCCGTTCCCTGTTCCCTGTTGTCAGCCCGCGCCCACCTGCCGGCAAAGTGGGCGTTGTTGAATCAGCACACGTGATTAATGGCCTTTAATTATGTCAAAGTGCGACGGAAGCCTCCGACCAGGAACCGAGTGCAACGGTACGCCAGTTAAACGCTTGACATTAAAAAATTGACACCGTTTGGGGTGAAATGTCTGCCAGCGCTGGCCCTCCTCCTCGTGGCCACCCCAATCCTGACCGATGTTTTTGCCTGTGACAACTGTCTGGCACACGTAGCCGAGTTCCCTGCGAGTACGCTTGTCTTTTGGGTCTGCCCCGAAACAAATTTAAAATACACACCCACACAGCCACACAGCCACACAGCCACACTGGGGACATGAACCGGGCTACTCCTTTGGCCATTCGTTACCCAGCCGTGATTGTGTGGGCGTTTGTCTCGCTTGTCGCTTTTAATGAAAGCGTCATAAATTATGTCGCAGTTGACGAAAGCAACAGCGAAGCTCCCGTCTGCGAACGGAATGCCTTTGGACAGGCGTTGAGGTTGCGGGGTCACTTAGCATACTGCATGTGTGTGTCACTGCGCGCAACACATGCAGAGGACTGGTGCACTGCTGCAACGGCCGAGGATCCCAAGAGCTTTAAATATGTTTGGTAGAGGTTCAGAACAACCTATATTTCATTTGATAAGGAAGATAATGCAATAGTCTAGCCTCACCACTTTGCAGCCTTTTCCGTCTTTATAAGGGTATTCTAGTAACGGCCAAAAGTGTTCAATAGGTTCTGTACATGTATTTGGATCAGGATCACCAGCCGTGTGGGCCAGTCCACAAACCAAAGATAAAATCAAAAAACAAAATTTTAGCCGCTAAATAGGTCTAGCCAGACCCATTACATCATTGTCATCAATGCCCACGTACATTATGGATGCATTTCATGGTTTCCCCATGCTCGCAAACAATTTGAGAATTGACACTCTCTCAGTTTGAACAGGTGAAGTAATGAGGATGGGGATTGCTGATAAGCATTGTCGAGATAATTACGGAGATAGGTTTGCAAAACATTTAAATAATATAAGTATTTATAAATACTTATCGAGTTCCTATACTACCCGTTACTTAGGAAGTGAGAGAGAAAAGGATAATTTAAATAAAGTTTTAATTAAAAACAAACAAGATAGAATGCCCGGCTATCAGATACCTATCAGATAAAATTTCATAATTTTCTGGAATATCGGTAAAAATTGGAAAAAAATAATTTAAAAAAAATTAAAAATTTGTAAAAGTGTGTGCGTGAACTCTCAAACTTTGGTCGGTTTGTGGACGTTTGAGTGGGCGTGGCCAAAAGTTTTTTGGTAAATCTATAGAAATGTATATATTTAAAAATTAAAAAATATCAAATTTTTCTCATAGTTGTGGGAATTCTACTGATATTCCTGGAAAAGTTTAAATTTCTCGTTCGCATTTCCACTAGCTGATTAATGGGTACCTGATAATTGGGGAAGCAGACTATAGCATTCTCTCTGGTGGTTCTTGTTTATTTTATCGCTATGAATGGATGAGTTGCGCGTATCTGATAGTCGTGGAAATTAACTATAGCGTTCTTTCTTGTTCAAAATCAACTCGCGGCTTTTGAAAAATGCTGTTCTAATATTTTCTTTTATAGGGGTAGGTCATGAATTTTGTTTACAAAATGTTATAGGTCGATTTAAAAGGCGTTGAAATTTTCCCGGATATAAAATTTCAATAAAAGTATAGCAGAAGGCATATCCCATGACGATGATCTTTATTGCACAAAGCACCGACTTAGAATAGCACATGCACTAGGTAGCAAATATATATGGTGAAAAAGAGTATGCAGAGGTTGGTTTTTCCATCGGCTTTCAGTGCGTGCCAGATGTTGTACTCTATCCTATCAGAAGTCGAAATAGAGTTATTAAATGCTGCACCAAGCCGATACTTTTCCGTTAAGGCAGTGTTATGTGAGTTGGTAATACGCACAATCCGTCGTGATGTCTGACGCGCAACGCCCGTTGTTTTAAGCCCCGGAAGGTTAGTGCTACGCAGACGATAGTCAGTGGATTTGGCGGGGATGGCTCCAAAGGCGTTCCTCTCACAGATCAGGAGACCCAGCAGAACGACCCATACCAAAGACATTCCACGGCTCGAACGTTGTCGGCGACCAACAGCCTGTGATCAACTGGTGAACGCTCTCTGTAGCGTTGGTGCGGAGCGTTATCGTCGAAACAAATAGGTTCCGAGCAGAGCTGCGGTTCTGTTTCTGTTTGCATACCTCGCAGGTGTTCTCTGGTTCAGTTTGATGTCTGCTGTTGCTTGGAGCTGTTAGCTAAGCCCTAGGCTTGACCTTTCAATGTCGCAATCCCATTGAGTTTTTGATTACATGTGCCAGGCGGCTGTGTCAAGGAATGAGATCCACATGAAAAAAGCAAACGGGCCTCTGCAACTTTGAAATGAAATCATACCGAAGCCAAAAGAAAGGACGGCCGCCTCTATTGCTCTGCAAGACAGCCTCTGCTATTTGATAAATCAAATAATTACAAAAGTTCAGACCAAGCCGCTGCCTGGGCCCCTGCAAAACTCGAAACAAACTTTTGCCAAAAAGGTAAAGCAGGGGAAAGTTTCTGCAAGTAACAAAAATTGCATTTAGGCGCATTTAGGCGGCAGTTAGGTGAAAGGACGAGATCCGTGACATAAGCTTCTGAGATAAAATCCATTCATAGTTTCTTAAAACCGTTTCTCCGCTTAAAGCATGAAATCATATTTGCCCACAAATTTAATGCAGCCTCAGCGTCGGCGGCAAAACTTTTTCGCCAGCTCTGCAGGCCGAAACTTTTGACTCGGTCGGTGTGGGTTCCGGTCTTCCTGTCTCTTCCAAGCTCTCGTCCTGGCTGCTCCGACATCCTTTGTGCCGATTCGTGTTGCAGAACTCCAGCGAAGCGTGTGAAATGCCCCACAGTTTGGTGGGGCCTTCGAGCAGGCGCCGCTTTGATGGATTTGAACGAAAATGGGGCCAGCGAAGGATAACGGGCGACAATGCGCAACATTTTAATTTGGTTCCATCTTTGCCATGGGCAGAGCGAACAAGAGAGAATGCTTTAGTCGAGTTCCCCGACTATCAGATACCCGTTATTCAGCTAGTGCACCCGTTAATATAATTGCTTATGTTGTATATACATTTCCATTCTTTTCATTGCTTGAATTAACATAAGTTTATGACATTTCTTTTTGGAGCAAAGATACCTACCGACGATAGAAGTTTACTGTTACTGTAAATATAATATGTAAGTAAATATATTCTAGATCAATAGGCTTTTCGATCGAACCATGCCCATCCGGCCGTCAGTCTGTAAATCCGTATCTCAGGGAACTATATTATGCCTGCACACTTGAAGTTTGGCCACTGCGACTTCAAAGGTCACATAACTTCTACCTGTTACATACTTTTCAACGAATCTAGTATACCCTTTTACTCTACGTGTAACAGGTATAAGCCTCCGATTATTTTATATAAATGTTTTGTTTAATGCACTTAAATAATGTAAAACGTAAATAAATGTATTTTTTATATGTAATCAAGATGTGCACAGCATATGAATTAATTAGCAAAATCTCGCCGATAAAGCAATACCTATAAACAACTTTAGGTAAGTCGCAATTGACTCCTAGATATTTTTCGTCTTATGACAGATTTCATTAAGGAGCTCCAACACAGTCATTTAAGTTGGGACTAGTAAATGTTTAATAAAATACAAACATCTTTAATTGCATGAATGCCTTCTTGGAGTATGTTACAGGTGTGGTAGTTAAAAATATATTTATAAATAAAAAGCAGTGAACATAATTCAGCTTTCGTTACTAATACCAACGCTACCAGCACTACAGCCCGGCGAACCTCACTACAACTTGCGATATATTTTTGCCAAGAAGCTAATCTTCGAGAGCGACAGCAACAGCTGCTGGACAGGATCAGACAGCTTCAATCCCAATCTGAGGCGCTACAAGTCAACTCAGCTGCAGGACAACCAGCGACCACTGTACAAACAGCACGGGCAACAAACCACCTGCCAGGAAATTTACCAGCGAGAATCCCCCACAATTCGCCCAGGTGGACCGGTCACTACGCTTGCACGGCACTTCTCGCCTCAAACCCCCTCAAATATTGACTCACATGCGACGGCTGTCTCCCGACTCCAGCAGCGAGTCAATATCCGTAGGCTGTTTCTTGCTGAGATACCCCATAATATTCTGCGGATCCTAGCAATCTGGGAGGAGAATGACCTTGAGAATCAACCAGACGATCATCTTGGAACCGGAGATTCTTCCCAACAATGGACTTTGCACCAACCTAGGCAAGTGCCAGCAGCCCCAAGCAGAGGTAAATATTCGTACTATACTACTATAATAACAAATTAACAAGCGCGGAATAAAACCTCCCAGTCAGCGGGTGGAGACACTACAAAACTACAGACGAGCCTCCACAATCAAGGAACTCGGAAGTTCTTTGATATCAGAGATGCCCGCCTTATCACATATCCAGGTACCCCTTTCTGAACTCCTGAATAACATAGTAAAAACAAGCATCGCTTGATCGAATATCGGTCGAATCTACACACTTGGTTATTTGACAAAACACTAATCAACACGGAGAAATCCTACATCACATACGATCGTGAATTACTCTCTATGAAGCCATCAAGTATTTCAAACACTGCCTCGAGGGTCGAGTATTTTGCATCAAAATAGATCATAGTCCTTCCGTGTATGCTTTTTGACAACGGCTTGAAAAAGCGTCACCAAGGCAACGTCCCCATCCTGGATACATTTCGCAGTTTATTCATGTCAAAGGATCTGATAATCTAGTCGCGGATGCATTTCCCAGGCTATGTGCGATCGCCAACGTCTGTCAGTTTAAAGAAAATCGAGGAAGCACAGGCATCTGACTCCGATGCTTCTTCGCTTAAACTACAACGAATCCGCTATGATGACAATGTCATTTTTTTTTTGTGACGTATCGACTAATTTCACCATCCTTCCATTTCAATGGGCCAAAATAAGCTGGCATAATCAACTAACTCCAAAGATCACAGTTTCCAACGACACCCATGTTTTCATGCCAATTTTGTTCGTAAGCTTAAGTAGAAGGAAATCCAAGCGAATATGTGTCATTCCAAGACTCCGGCCCTTTGAAATATACCCATTCTTCGAGTCGATAAGGCCAAACCCATCTGTCGATCCGCCTTAATGTCTGTATGACAGCTCTGATCTCAGGAACTATAAAAGCTAGATAGTAGAATCCATAAATAAATAAATATGTTCACGAAAGGATAGTTCTAGAAAAAGGGGAAATGATAAGAAATTTGTTGCTAGCGATACACTGGTGTAATTATCTTCGCGGCATGCCCTGCCCTACCTATGATCACCTCCCTTAAGAGCATTACTCTTGACTCCTAATGATAAGTACATAGTGTATTAAAACAATTTTAATTTCCAGTGTGAGGTATTAGATATAAATTTATGTAAGTTTACGTTACTAAAAAATCATTAACTTTCAGAGCGCTAGTTGCATTTACATACACGTAGATACTAAGAATACTAAATATTCTGCCTATACTTCTAGAAATATTACCTTTTTAGTTGAATTTTGTTTAATAAACTATCTTCATTATCTTATTTTCAATTTTATTAATTAATAAATTAAAAAACAAAAAAATTGGCGAGTTGTTTATGTCTAAAATTAACTTTTTGACTACAATTAATATTTTATAATGGACTTTAGACATATCAATCAATCAATCCAATACTCAATAAATTGTTCCCAGTAAGGTGATTTTTTTTCTTTCTAGGTAATTCAAGGTAAAAATATCTTAAAAGTATATCAAAGTAAAGTTTTGAATTAAAAACAAATGTTTACCGAGTTTGTATAGTATATAGTGTATAGTAGACGAAATATAGGAAATTGTAAAGGAAATATGTAAATATTAGTAAGATCTAATTATGTGTTCAAAAAGTTAGTATTGATCGCTTTAAGAGCGGCAGAAAGTCATGATTAGAGATAATAGGATAAGATCTATTATAGTCAAAACATAATACTCAAGAATCGGATGGACTAGCGAAAAGAATAAGGTTTTGGTCATGTAAGGATCATTTAATTCCTTTGACCACCTTTTTATAAAACCAAGCACACCCCTGGCCTTATTGACAATGGACGAAATATGGTTTGAAAACTTTAGTTTAGGGACTAGAAGAACACTAAGATCATAAATAGTGTTATTCTGTCAAAAAAACACCCACTTAGAATGTTAGTCGCGTGTCTTGGGTTGACACGACAAAAGGTCATAACCTTACACTTGGAGCCATATAAGTTTAGCACGTTATCACGGCTCCATATTTGAAAGCTATCTAGATAGGATTGTAAGTCCGAATGGCAGGAAATGTCCTTATACGGCAGGTATAATTTAATATCGCCTACGAAAAGTACACGCGAATGTTTTATTACCAAAGGAAGGTCGTTAATAAATAAAGAAAAAAGGAGCGGACCAAGGAGGCTCCCTTGTGGGACGCCGAATGTGACTCGGAGAATACAAGAAAGCTAATATTTAAAGAGGACCCATTGCGTCCTGCCAATAAGATAACTTAAAATCTAATTTAGAAGATCAACAGGGAAACCTAATAAATCAAGTTTCCTAACCAAAAGTGAATGATGAACAGAGTCAAATGTTTTACTAAATTCAGTTTAGATGACATCTGTTCGAAGATTATAAGATCGTAAACCTGAAGATCGTAAACCACTGAGCTGTTATTTAGAGGGGACAAAATTTTAAATCCGATTTCGATACCGCGTAAGAGTAAGGCTGTTCGGAATGAGGTAACGGCAATTACCTGATCCGATGTTACAGTAGTATCCTCGAAAAAATAACGAGGAATGGTATGAATTCGTTCTGCGCTTAGTGTTAACTAAGTTCTAAAACTTCTTCGGATTCTGTGCGAACTGGGACTTACAACGGTTTAAATAGTTCTTGTAACACTGAGCATTAGGCACGGTTAAATTTAACCGAGCACTTAAATATTTAGAAAAGATAGACTGAGAACCGGTATCTAAAAATTTGGAATAATATCTGGACCTTACATTTCTTAGGTGTGTCAACTCTTTATTAAACCAATGAGGTTTGTTGGAGATAGACGGCACAAGAGTTAAAAAATATTTTGAGTGCCGTATAAAATATATATTTTTTATTTCCGACATTTACATGTGTTTCAGGAGTAAAGATCGGAACAATTAAAGGCGGAT